TAGAAGTGACTTCTCAGCTATATGAAGGGAGAAGTCTGAGCAGCTGCAAGCCATGACAGCCTGGGAAATATTAGTGTTTGACTGCTCCCCAGTTTTTGAGAAATTGAAGGATTCTAAAGCACATCCTGCTCTGCCAGGAATGACCTGGGCTCACGACAACTGCCATAGTCCTGAGATAGTGGTACATCGGATAACCATCCTCGGAAAAGAGGAGAGGTGGCCACAGAACACAGGAAAAGCTCTGGTGTGTGCTGTATTAGGAGCTGCACTGATAGCCGAACAAAAGGAAATGCATTTAACAAGGCAGGCGGAAGGGGAAACAATTAAGTCTCTTCATAACCAATTAACAGAGGAGCATGAAAAAAATGAAAAATTACAAAAACAGCTAAGCGCTGAATGTAACTCTAATTAGCAGCTTCACATGGCTCTGTCAGATACAGACGACCAAGAGAAAATCAGGCAGTCTGAACTGGAGGAAAATGAGCAAGGGGCTTACAATCAAGTAGATCTTGACTCAAATCTGAATAGCAAATCAGGCTTTTCAAGTCTGGCAAAACTAGTCAAAAACCCCACACATCTGATTTTAAACCTTTATACCTGCTCAAAGAATTGGAAACTAATAAGGCAAAGGTGCAGGAAAAGCATTTCGTGCATCCAGAAGAATACCTGTGGCAACTCCAAAAATACAGGAAGACAGTATTAAATGGGAGAACCTGAGAAACACTGTGCCCCAACTTCTCTGGGCTATGACAAGAGTCACTGAAGGAGCACAGAGAACAACCGGCAACAGAAGCGCCATAACTCTCCCGGACAAAGCAGCTCTACCACAGCTCCTCCCAGGGACATCTGAGGAGAGCCATCAATGAGACAACGCAAAGGCAATGTGACTTGGGAAAGGTCAGATACCTGACAACAGAAAAGTAAAGAGTTAGTAGGGGTTGGATGTGTGTTAGCAGGACTAGTCAGTACACTTCTCTTTCTGCACCTGGTCAGCAGTCTGTCCTGTCCCCTCATCAAACTTTATTTCTAACTACTGTCCTGCATGTCTCCCTTTTCTACCAGTATGTGCGACCCATCTGTTTCTTTCCATCTGTTTCTTTCTCACACTTTTAACTCATTTTTTCCCCCCTTCTCTGATTGATCTAAGAGCTGACAAAAGACAGGCAATAGAAAAAGAAAAAACAGTGGACTTGAACACTGCTTTGGTAACAAGGAGCTCAGCCAGCTTTCTTGTTTAGCACTTCAACTCCTAGTCAAGTCCTTTCCTGCACAGATCTCCAAAACCCTTACTTACAAAAATAGCTCTCGTTCACAAAAAGTTTATGCATTTCACATTTAGAAAATTAGTATATATTCATGTTCTCTGTTAACATACAATTAAATGTTCTGCATTTTCACAAAAAAAACCCCACCAACCACAGGAATATTATCTACACAAATAAAGGTCATCTTAAACAGCATCTAAAACACCAGGTGTAAGTGTAATTATGTTCTTCACAGCACAAAGCAGAGAACAAGGGAAGTCGACAAACTGCAGCACATACATAATTGTGTGCAATTATGCAAGCAATACATAACTTGTTCTAATTACTTTGCATTGATACCAGATTTTATTGTATTCCAAATTCCCTACCAAAAGATGCCAGCTCACTCCAGGTGCCTTGTAAAAGCCAGATCTATTCCATTCATTGCGCATTACCCACTCTGGCAAATAACGGTATTTACAGACACCACAGTGTTAGAAGAATATTTTAAGAAGTCCTTCCACATCTTATATTTTGCTGAACTGTTGGGGCTGTCACTCACATTACTGACAGTATTTCCCTTAGCCGCTACCCAGCAGAACATTTCTAAACTGCATGTATTAAGCAGCTAGCGATGCTGAACCAGCCAAATTAAACTGCACACCGTGCTACCCCAGCTGCTACGTGAACATTCGGTGAGTTGAGCCACGACTGTCATCGACTGGGATCCTGAAATCTGGGGGGCTGATGCTGGTGAGCTTGATGGCTAATTAAAACCAGACATTTATAAGGCTGTAGGAAGCAGTGGGCTTCAATCATGACCTGTGGGGGAGGATGTCACAAGCCACTGTGCGTCAGGCAAAAATCACCACCAAGACCGATGAAACAACAGTGGAAAAACCCATTGTGTGCCAAAACTATCAGATCAGGAAAGTACTTGAGCTTAAATATATTTAACAAGACACCTAGAACTGTTTAAGGAACTCTTAAAGGCAAAGGTCAGGTCAGGTATGCTCCTGAGAGAACTGACACCATGCTGGAGCAGGAATCACTACGTGTACTGCCTCAAATTCCCACATTGCCCATCTATTCATCAGAGGAATTTTTACTGACTCCATTTATCATTTGCTAAAAATAATGGGATATGTGGCTGGGAAATGGGAAGATAGAAAGTGTTTCTCTGTTTCTTTGGGTTTTTTCCCCCTCCCTTCAGCACTCAAATCATGGTCAGAGAGTAGTGGACAACTAACTCGCTCAAGGAAAACACCCCAACTGTCCACTACTTCTGCAATACTGTTTCTTAAACTTGAAGAGCACTGGCTATGCAGAGCTCCAAACTCTGATTAAACTGGGCTGTAGAGCACACCATGAGCAGTGGCGACACAAGATACTACACTGGTAACACTACAGATGACTCAGCTTGCCTTGCTGTTCCAGAGAACTATCTCGGCATTATCACTACCGAACACCATGATCAAAATATGCAGCAATGCAGATCCAGAAGGCTGTGGCTACTGTACCCCAGACTCGGCAGAAAATTTGGAAAAACACAGTTAAAATAGTCTAGTCAATGCTTTTAAGTAATTCTTTTCCATTAATACAGCATTTAAGAAGAGGACTTCCCACCATCTGGACCATCTGTCTATAAATAGCACATTTTCCAGACAGACCTGGCCCTGCTCAGGCAATGTGGGACTGCACCCTTGTGGTTGATGTCACCATCCCTTACCTGTGCTGTGGCAACCCTTGACATCCAGCTCACTTTTCTCTGCAGAGAGCTCTTGCTCCTCTGACACTTGGAGAACAGATAACACCATCAGAGGCTTCCAATTAAATGTTTCCCCGACTGTGCTCAAGCTGAGAGCATAAGATACACATCCCCAGCAGGGACCATCCAACTCCTATCACTGCGGATCAAAAGGAACCCAAAAGCCAAAATGAGGGTTTCACAGTATTCCTTGTTCCTCCCTGTTACACAGAAGTGACCCCGCACAGACCAGAGGTTTTGGTGCTTCTGAGTATACGGGCAACAAGGTTACTAGCAGAAAAAGGATCTAAAACCAGAAAGATTTTGCATAGTAAACTAAATAAATTTCATTAAGATTTCACATTGAACTTTCATACATGAGCTTCCAACAGAAATAGCACATCCCTTTTCCCACTACCTGATGCCACTTTACTCAGCTGAGGAACCCCATGACCCCATGGTGCTTGTCTTGGGCTGCAGGGAGATGGAGGATGTCACTGGCACCTTATTCTGCCATGGGGCTGTGTTGGGGGATCTGCCAGAGGCCAATGGGGAAAATGCTTTAGACCTAATCAAGCCTGCTGGGTACTTAATACATGCGGATACTGGAGAGACACTGACCTATGTGCTTAACAACTACCCAGGTCACAGTTCCATTCATTGTAGACTGCAGTGGGACACACTAAGAATAAGACACTTCACATAGATTAGTTAGTGATAAAGGTAAACCTCATAAAATCAGTGTAAGAAGGTTGTTACACAAACTCTGTTCCAGAGTCACAGAATTACAGAATGGTTTGGGTTTTACGAGACCTTCAAGATAATCTAATTCCAGCCCCCCTGGCATGAGCAGGGACACCTCCCACTAGACCAGGTTGCTCAAAGCCTTGTCCAGTCTGGCCTTGAACACTTCTACAGAGGATGCTTCAACAACTTCTCTCAGCAATCTGTTCCTGTGTCTTACTACCTTCACAGTGAAGAATTTCTTCCCAATATCTAATCTAATTCGAGTCGCTTTTGAGTTTAAAACCGTTATCTCTCAGCATATCACTACCGTCCCTTCAAGTCCCTCCCATCTTTCCCATAGCCCTCTTTAAGTACTGGAAAGCTGCAGTAAGGTCTCCACAGAGCCTTCTTCAGGCTGAACAGCCACAACTCTCTCAGCCTGTCCTCACAGGGGAGAAATCCACTGTTCTTTGGCATAGCTTAATAATAAATCTTCACCAGCTTTGAAATGCAGTTCCCTGATTTCTTCTGTTTGCATCTCATCTGAGATTCCTCTCCGTGTCCTTGAGAGACCTTGCCTCACAGCGCATGTGGAGCACCCACCGTTAGGAGCACCCCAAGAGCTACTTCAGGGAAAAGCAATCCCTGCATCACCACCTCACCCTTTGTCAGGTTAGAATCAACCTACTTTTACTAGTAAGCATTAAATGAAACCTTTAGAACACAATCATTGCAACGGACAGTGAGAGCAACAAAGCAGAGGGTAGAGAAGGTACCACAGTCGCCCTCCCCGTACGGACTCGCTATCTGCACCGCCATGAGCTTTCTCAGTGCTGCAATACAGCTCCATGGGC